TTGTATAAATGATCTTCAATGACTGTTAAATTGTCGCTTCAATTTGTTGAATTTAGATTAGTGTTCAAAATTTAAATTGTGATACTTTTCTATAATTGGCAGGCGATGTGATGCCTTAAAGTATATTTGGACAATTTAGCAAAGACCAAATTGAAAACCAATCCCCCCCCCCCCCCCCCCCCCCCCATAAAAAAAAAAAAAAAAAAGGAAAAAGTACCCCCGCTCACAAGGAATGATGACTAATTGTGGGGGTCAATTTCCTCTTCCTTCCGGACACGAGAAGGGGAGAACTAATGGGAAGGAAAAGATTTCTGATCATACAGTGGAACTCCTTTCTTGACCAATCGATTAGCCAAACAGTCAAAACTAATGATATTATTTCTCGAAACAATCAAATAACATATTCATTTTCTCAATTAGGGTTGAGAAATGGAATGTACTTTTTCATCTTCTCCATAATTCCCAATCCTCGTGAAATATAATTTTATTGACTCAATTACAAATATAACCCTTGTTTGACTATCATTATTTCATTTTATTTTTTTACATACTCATTTTCAATCATACATTCACAATAAAATATTTTATATGTGAACTCAAAATATTTTCTTACTTTTTAAACACACATTCTTCAAAAAATAATTTAAAAATCTTTTTTACCCAAATAATCATCGTGAAATAGGGCATATACTAAAAATCATGACGAAGTACAACAAATGCCCATATCGTTAAATATCATTATTCGAATATTAGAGCAAATGATTAAAACACTTCTTCCTATTTATTGATCCATCCCTTTTTTCGTTCAATCATTAAACAAGATTATACACATTCAGTGATCTAAAATGAGTAATGCGTTGCGATGCGTCGAGTCCGAGAATCATGAATCACAAGTTTAAGCGTGTCAATGTGAAGAATAAGCGCCATAATGCATTTCGTATTTTTAAGGCATTAAATATATTTTTATATAAAAAAATAGATTTTTTACAAAAAAAAAAATTTGGCAGCATAATGCGCGCCTAGACGGCATAATGGGTGCATTAGACGCGCCTAGGCGGGATTAGGCGCGCGCATTGCGCTGCCTTTTAGATGGAAACGCATTTTCCCGCGCGTCACAGAATTCGAAGCGTTTTGGCCCCGCGTCGCGCCTAGACGGCGCATTTTCACGAGTTTTAGAACACTGTACACATTCTCCCTCTTTTCTTAAACTGGCCAATTCTCGTCTCGAGCACGGGAGGAAAAGAAAAACAGAAACAAGAAAATTGCAAAAAGATCATGTTTCTAGTAAAAGCATGTGCAGAACACTTTCGTCGACCCTTCCAAGTCAACACTCAAAAAATTTCCGCGTATTCCTGTTCTTCATAATCGTCATGGCTAATCACCTCTATCAATATTAGGTTAAATTACAGCAAAATCTGATATGGGATTTGCTATAGTCCCAATAAGAAAAATCAATTACATTTACAAGATCACAAATTTTCAGTGTTTTCCATAAATTCAGTCATATTGTTTCAATCTTGATTTTATTTTTGTAACCTGTTAAGAGAAAGATGGGCGGGTGTTTCAGCAAGAATAAGTACACAACCCCAGATGCCAATGGCTACAGATCAGAAAGAACGGGCCCCACAGGGTATCAAAGCCACCAAAATTATCAAAAACCATCATCTCAGTACACGCCCCAGCCGCCTCAGCCCGAAAGGCACCACCAGCCGCCACCAATGCCACGGCCGCGGCCGCAGCCGCAGCCGCAACCTCAGGCACCAATCCCAGCTCCTGTGAAACCTGCTCCCCACTACCAGAGCCCTGTTCAAAGATTAGAACCCAATAACATTTTAGGTAAGCCCTTCGAGGACATAAGGTCAAAATACAAACTTGGCAGAGAATTGGGCAAGGGTCAGTTTGGGGTAACTTACCTTTGTACTGAGACTGCAACTGGGCACAAATATGCCTGTAAGTCAATACTGAAGAGGAAGCTTGTGAGTAAGAATGATAAGGAGGATATGAAGAGGGAAGTTCATATTATGCAGCACTTGAGTGGGCAGCCGAACATCGTGGAATTTAAGGGTGCTTCTGAGGACAGGCATTCTGTGCACGTTTTGATGGAGCTTTGTGCCGGTGGGGAGCTCTTTGACAGGATTATTGCTCATGGACATTATTCCGAGAGAGCTGCCTCTGACCTCTGTAGACAGATTGTGAATGTTGTTCACCATTGCCATTTTATGGGGGTGATGCATAGGGATCTCAAGCCGGAGAATTTCTTGCTTGCAAGTAAGGATGAGAAGGCGATGTTGAAGGCAACTGATTTTGGGCTCAGTGTCTTTATTGAAGAAGGTCTGTTTCTGGCTTCTAGTGTTCCATTTATTCAGTTCAATATTATAATTTCAGAATCTAAGGTTATTTCATATATGAATTACAATTCAGCTGAGTCTACACGTATTTTCACATGGATAACAAACTTTTATGTTAGTATGTTACAATTCTTTCAATGTTTTGCGATCGAAGATCCAACAATGGCATATAGTTGGGGTTGAATAGAGCTCTAATACTTTAAATAACACCACATATAAACATTTCACCACACAAGTTCGAAAATGACCAAAGAATGGAAGATGCTTCAAGGTTCTCCTGCATCAGAAGATGCTGCCTTGCAAATATGGGAATGGCTCGCTTAAGTAGTACAAGAAAATATAGACATTCAGGAATAATTACCATTATTATCAACTTGGTAAGAATGTTGATATTTGACATCTGGTCAGTGATTTAAAGTATTTGCATATACTGGTGGAAGTTACTCTTGGAAATTTTGATTGTGAAATAGACCTGTTATCACTAAAAACTGAGAATGACAGCCATGTTATTAAAGAATGTATCTAATTGATTGTTGAAGAAGTTCCAATGGCAATTTCCATATCTAAGGTCATTGAAAAGCGTGGCCACCATTTTACCATATCGTGTCTACGCTGTGCTGTCCTTTATATATGTGCATTTTTGGAATTTAATCAATTTGTTTCTCTGACATTTTATTATTTTCATGTTTGTTTCACTTATCCACAATTTTTCTCGGAATTTGCATAAAAATAAAATCCCTTATTTATTAATATTCCAGGAAAGGTGTATCATGATGTTGTTGGTAGTGCATACTACGTAGCTCCTGAAGTTCTACGTCGAAGTTATGGGAAGGAAATAGATATATGGAGTGCAGGTGTTATTTTGTACATTCTTCTCAGCGGCGTGCCTCCATTTTGGGCTGGTAAGATAAATATAACATTTCCATATGATGTTTTCTGCTATCCTTATCCGTAACTCTCTTTACGTTAACATGTTTGGCCAAGATTTTTTTGTCAAACATGTTGGAGTTTTTAACTTAATCTTTTCTTTTAGCCTTTTAACGTTTCTCTTTTTCTTTTTGGATTTTTTTTATACAAGAAATTACTTTTCTAGAAGTAAGTCAACACTTCTACAAAAGTACTTTTACTTTTTAAAGCTTAGCCTAACATGCTCTTTGAAGGAGGAAAAATGTAAAACCCTTCAACACGTTTCATGTAATTTTGCTGCAGAAACTGAAAAGGGGATATTTGATGCTATACTGAAAGAAGAAATTGATTTTGAAAGCCTGCCATGGCCCTCAATATCAAACAACGCGAAAGACCTTGTTCGCAGAATGCTGACAAAGGATCCAAAGAAGAGAATTACTTCTATACAAGTATTAGGTAAAGTCCTCTTCTTCCTTTCATAGAATTTCGAGTCACATTTGTATAACATCTCATCTTCAGTTCCTCACTTCTTTATGCACGTGTTTTGATCATGAAGACAGATTTTCATTTCGGATTTATATCGTGCATACCTTGTCAACTTTTCCAATGACCGAGAGATATAAATTTTCTTACAATTACCATTGTATTTGCTGTTATTAGTTTATCCAAAGTGCTGATATTGGAGCTGCTAATTAGAAAAAGTAACTGAATAGAAAGAATGATACGGTTATTTATGAGTTATCCTTGAGACCAACGAGCAGTTGAATTTTGGTTTAAGTTTGAGGCCCCTGTATCTATTCAAAACAAAACTTTATAATTAAAATTACCTGAGAATTAAACTAGAAATTTGGGGCAATATAAATTGATTCATTTCAAGGTGGAACTGGCATATAAAACGTCTAAGTTGCTTATTTTTAATGTCTCCTGTGTATATCATGTCTCTTATTTCTATTTCTATTAAAAATCATTTTGAAAACTTGTGTTCTTAAAATTGTTCACTTGATGTAGTTATTTTTCTCGAACTAGCATTTCTAAGCTCTGCTTAGCATATTGTGGTTGAAGTTGAACATTTTCTATTCTTGTTTGCATAGAGCACCCTTGGATTAAAGGACAAGCACCTGATAAGCCCATTGATAGTGCTGTGCTCTCTAGAATGAAGCAGTTCAGAGCAATGAATAAGCTCAAGAAACTTGCACTAAAGGTAAATTATTATCTCATGTGCTCGTTTTATATGAATTAAATTGTGAAGTTGAAATTATGAATGTTTTTCAAGTTTTGTTATGTTTATCAGGCCAGAAATATGATATTTTTAGGTGACAATAAACCTCTAGTAGAGCAAACTAGCTATTACACCTGCTGATCATGTCTGATAATTCATCTACTTCTTGAATTTGTTCTGCTATCATCCATCTATTAGAAAATATGAGACTATCATTTTTCTTCAGTATGTAGCTTTAATTGATCTAGCTGGATTAAAATCAGAACCTGTCTTGATAAGCAGATAAAAACATATATTGTATCCTAATAATCATTAACATTTTTATAGTACTGGAACTGCCACATGAAACATGGATAATGGACCGCTTTCAGTTTATAGCAATCCCTTTGGGTCCATATCATTATCTTGGTATGGTTGTTTAAAGCTTGTTTGGCACAGATTTTTCCAAGGGAAAAAAGATTTTTTGGATAATGTGTGGTAAAAAAGTATTGAAAAGTTGTGGGTCCCATATAATCTCAGGTTGAAAATGATTTTGGGGAAAATTGATTTTAAAAAAATCTTTGATAAATAAGCTTTTATGTAAGAGTAGGGCTGAACATGGTTCGATTCGATTTCAGTTCTAACTTCTAAAGAGAACCAAACCGAAGTTTCGGGTATTTAGTAATTGGAAATATCAAGTCTAAATTTAATTATGGAATCTAACCGGTTTGGTTCGGTTCGGTATCATAGTTAATTTTTTTAACATTTATAACAAGACTACATTAATCCAACTAATGACATGTTCAATCTTAGCTCTTACAACAGCACTACATTAACTTTTACAAAATAATGTAGTCAAATTTAAAAATATACCAATAATAAGTTGTCTAATAATACAAAAAAAAAAAAAAATCCATTTAAGGATTAAAGACCGTTATTATGAAATGACCTCAAATAGAAAGTAGAGGGTATTCGACTTGACATGGACGAACTGTTTTAGAGAATTTACTGTAGGGTATCAAAAGAGTACTATTCCTCTGGTATCTTAATCATTTCTGCAAACATGTAATATATGCAATATTGCTCGAGCTCAGATGGAGATTCTTTTCCTCTTACTATGTGCTGTTGCACTTGGAAACTCCTATAGGTCATTGCACAAAGTTTATCTGAAGAAGAAATTAAAGGTCTCAAAGCAATGTTCACAAATATGGACACAGACAAGAGTGGTGCAATCACATATGAGGAATTGAAATCTGGATTGGCTCGCCTTGGGTCAAAACTGTCAGAAGCAGAAGTAAAACAACTCATGGAAGCTGTAAGTTTCAATCACCTATATGGGCAAAATTTATAGAACCTTTATTTGCCATGACTGCTTCCTTGGATTGAACCGTTCATTCTTTATAATTCAGGCTGATGTGGATGGAAACGGGACAATTGATTACATTGAATTTATAACTGCTACGATGCATAGACATAAGCTCGAACGAGATGAGCATCTCTATAAAGCGTTTCAGTATTTTGACAAGGACAACAGTGGGTAAGCCATGAAAATTGCTATTGTCTACTGCATTTATCTTGTACACATCTAAGGAAGTTTGTTAAGGTGGATTAACAACACTGGACAGTTTAACAAAGAAAAGAAGTCAAAATATTGTCTAAACTGTCCGTTCTCTTAGTCTGAGTGAAATTAGTGCTACCTTGTGGGGGTTTTCATGCTTTCCTTGCATTATCCGTGACATTTGTAATCGCCTGATTTCCTATTTTGTCATTTCAGCTATATTACTATAGATGAACTGGAAACTGCTATGAAGGAGTACGGTATGGGTGATGAGGCCACAATCAAGGAAATAATTTCAGAAGTTGATACAGATAATGTAAGTATGCCCGATTCAGTAAATGAGATAAACACCTTCTGGCCGATTTAGGTATAGACCAGCCTTATATTGTTGCATTTTTATAGGATGGACGGATCAACTACGAGGAGTTCTGTCAAATGATGAGAAGCGGAACAACACAACAGGCGAAGCTCTTCTAGTTTCAAGGCAAATAATGTTTTGAGAAGCACCTTTTTTGGACTCGAGAGAGTTCTGTAAGGATGATGAGATGCTGGGGACAAGGTGCAAGATGACGTATTATCTTGATTTCTTGTCAGATTATCAACTGTTTTCATGGCATTGAAGGGAGTATGGTTAGAAGTTTGTGAGGTATGGTTAAGAGTTTGTGAGGCCTTTTTGTTCAGATAACCGTTAGATGGTGTTGTACTTGTGCATACTCTTCCATTATTAATTTGTGCTTATCTGTAATGTATCGGATGTCCAACTTTATACTTACAACAGTGTATATTCTTGTAAGTGGATTCCTGTGTGATAAACGATTGGGATTATTTAAATATGCCCACCGTTCTCCCTGGTTTTATAGACAGCAGATTTCAATATCTCGTCATTATTACAACTTGAAGGTTAAAAAATCTGTCAGTTATCCGTCAGCTTTAGATGCCTGCAGGGATTCTAACAGTTTGATTTTGAATTTTGAATTCTATCTACTTCATTTCAGAAGATGCAGTTAAATTTAAAGTACTGTCAAATCCTTCCCCAACTAGAAGCGGCTTATTTTGATCTAGTAGAAGTTAAAATTGTGTCTACTGCACTATCTAATCCTATCTAGTATTGTTTACCCTATGGAAAAATATGGCAATGCCGCTACATGTACATAAGAGGCTTGACAAAAGTATTCCAGATGAGTTGTCAAGCATTTAAGAAAGAAAAAAAAAAAAACAAAACACGTCAAGTTGAAAACAAAAAACCTAAGACTTTCACTTTCCCACGCCACTTTCCCCAATCAATTCCCTGCCGAGCTGAAACCCTTAATTCCCAGTGACGTGGCCGATGCTTTCGTCATCGTCGCCGGCTACCGTCAATCCATCAAACAACAAATAACCTAATGTATTTACCTTTGTCATATTATCGGGTGCACAAACCGCAATAACCCTGCCGATTTCGCCGCCGTTGTCGTCATCATCTCCGACTGCCGTCGATGTCTTTAGACCTGGAACTATTACTGACTGCGTAGAGTTTTGAGAAGGTAAGATTTTGGGGTTTTTTTTAACAAATTATTTATGGTTTTTCCGCACCCACTGTACACAGTTTGGAAATGTAAAATTTTTGGGTTTTTCAACAAATTACCGCTACATTTTGTTGAACCATGGAATTATGTGATCATTTATGAGTTTGTTGAGAAGTTGTGAAATAGGATTAGTTTATATTTTAGTGTCTTTATTTTAGTCAGTTAGGTTATTTTCCCCCTGTTGCAAAGTTGGAGTGAGCTACATTTAGAAGTGGAATCTCTAGGAGAATTTTAGTAGTTTGGTTTGCCGTGTTACTTGCAATATATTCGGCCTTTGTGTTTTGTTGGTAAATTGTAAGTAGTGAGCTTGCAATATCTTTCGAATGAGACTTTGTGTTTGTCACATTCTTGTTGACTGGTATTCTACTCCTCTTCAAAGAGTCGTTCATTTGAGGTGTTTCCTTGTTTGGTATTTTAACTTGGCAATTTACATCAACATCAATGTCCAATGTCTTTGCGTGTTGTTGGTAAATTGTAAGTAGTGAGCTTGAAATATCTTCAGCCTCTACCTGTTGAACTATGAATCTCATTTGTACATGAGTCCATCTCATTTTATGTCCAATTGTCATAGTTCGATTAATTTTTTGTAATTGACATAAAAATGGTGTAATGTAATAACCTGGTACTTATGTATATTGCTATTTCCTGGCACCAACGTATTTATTACTGATCATTGTGTTAGGGATTGTATGTATACTAACTTAGATGCATGTGGTTGTTTTCCATGTAAGGATGAGAGACACGAATTATGGTGTTTGTCATAGCTGTAGAAGCACAAATCACTTCTTCGAAGAATGCAATCGAAAAAGTCATTTTCCATGGTGCGTAGATGGAATCCAAAAATATTTTGAGGTTGAAAAGGAGGGCAATAACAAAGGACGACTATTCAAAACTTGCAGTATTGACTGGGTAAAAAAAGAAGCGATCGGTGAGTCGAGTACCATTGACAAAGCAATGAATCCTACTGCAAAAAAGGAAGTTGACAATTTGCCAAGCATGTTCGAAAGTCTAGCTTGAATAGCTGAGAAACGAAACTTTGAGATTTCGTTAAATGTGACATTCCGCAATGACAAAGTGCCCTCGGACGGTAATGGAAAAGGAAGGGGGCCGGCACGATGAGTAGTTATATTCGTTATTGCACTTGTTTAGTTATGTTGTTAGGTTTGTAATATCATGACAGGATGGGAAATAAATCTTTTAACCCGCAATGTTACTTCTTGATTACTTTTGGAGTATATTAAATCCCGTTGCTAATTGCTAGTTACTTCCACTGCAAAGTAAACTTAATAATTGGTGCATGTCAGATAATTTCCACCTCCAACATCCAGTAAAAGAAGAGAAACAAAATCCTCATAGGATCTGCAAAATGTTTTACATTAACTAGGAGATAAAAAGTAGAAGAGTTGAGTTCAATAACAAACTAGAAGTGAAAAAATGTCCCGAGAAGCCTAAAAAGCTAAATAACTCCAACTTTTCCCTATGTTCCAATACAGCAAACCATTTCCTTTCCGTCGAGCAAAACCCATAGTGCCTTACAAACATTTGAACTCCACTTGCTTCATAGGCCCGGGGGACCACCTTCTTATGGGTAATTGTAATGGAATATTGTCTAAGGCAATAAAAAGATTGACCAACATACATTTGCTTTCTTTGAAGAGGACTCGAACGGGCTTTTTCTTCGAAACTGCGTCCTTTTTTCTCGACGATATAGGATCTCGTATGCTTCTGCTGGCATTGTTTTTGGATTCATTACATTGCAAGGTTAACTGAATAGTGTGTTGTGAAACGACATTGCTACCAATACCTGACTTGATTGTACTTAACTCTTGTTTTTGATTAATTATCCACTCATTTATAGCATGAGACCGCACTTTATCAGCAGCTGTGAGGTTAGCAACATTTGCAAAAGCCTGACACATATCGTCATATCTCAACTGTTCAAGAGTACTAACCAACCCATCATAGTTCACTATAACCCTGGTGTGTGCTCTACAAACCTCTCTCTTCCATCTCCATAGTATATACCGCTCCGACAGTAATGCGACATCATTACGGATCAAGACAAAGATATCGTGTCAGCACAGAATTCCTCGAAACTCAAACAAATGGAAACTGCAAACAATTTCACAAGTGTCTATCTGAAATGTGACGAAAAACTTTTTCTTCTTTTGTTGGTCATCGTACATGACAACCTCCCATAGTTCGTACATTGTCCCTGAAATTTCCTCCATAGTAGGTATGAGGTCGCAATAAACCTTCCGAATAAGCTTGACTTAAACTTTCCTGAACTTCGAAATGGTGTAAGATTTCTGATGCTGCTTCTCCATTTCGAACATTGTCATACACGATACCATTTGCGAGTATAACTTACAGTCGGCCTGGAACTCCTTCTCAACCTTATTCCTCAGTGTCAGTTCATATTGTTCAACAAATTGTTTTAGCGAGGTCTTTGAATGAAAATACCCATCGAATAACACATTCATACTCTCAGTTGAGTTGTTGACATCCCTGCCCAAAATGCGATTTTCAAATAGCAAGTAACCCAACGACCTCTATTTATCAAACAATCCCGAAAATCAATCATTATTATGCAACTCATACGTGTCGATCATCGCTCTCCAACTTTCTTCAAATTCGTCAACAAACTGCGAATCATACACTAATCCATGTATAGTCGAAAAAATGGAAGCTTTATCAACGTGGTATCCAAACGTTTCTAGCAACTTCTTCAAAATATGCCATAAACACCATCTATTCCTCGTATTTGGAAAAATAATCTGAATTACATTTTGCATGGCCCTATCTTGATCGGTAGTGATTCCATTGGGCATGTCCTAAATAGCCACACAAAAGTATCTGTGTCCTCATTCGACGATAAACCACAACCGAGGAGTAGATTGTCCGTGATGATTAATGCCATCAAAAGGGGAGAAAGGCATATTGTACTTATTAGTTAGATAAGTGGTATCAAATGTGACAACGTCGCCGAACTCCTTGTACACTTGTCTTGACCTATTAGCTGCCCAAAATACATTCTTCAGCCTAGACTCATCGTATACATCCTTAATAAAGTAGAATCTCGAGCACTGGCTTGCATCTTGAAAAAGTAGGCTTGTATCGTTGCGGCATCTCCTTCACCAAGTCTTAATCATCTCACTTGTTTAATATAATTTCGACAATCATTTTCCACGCAAATCATACTTTCATATTCACTTGCTTCAACCACTAGAGAGTTGAAACTTTTGCTCAAGAGAATTCCTGCCATATCATTCACTTCTGGTTTTCGTTTGACATTTGAACTTAATTCTCGATTGCAGGGATACAACCTCGACTTCGAAGGACTTGTTTTATAATTGTGTTCTGGTGGACTGTGTTAATTCTCCAGATTACATGAATATCTGAAGATGCAATGATTCTAGCTTTACAATCTATCTAAATTGTTGGTTTGGACTTCAAAGAACCAATTGTACTAGTGCTTCTTCAACCTTCACGGCTACATGTGAAGGTCACATCTTTTATTTTCCCATCGTCTCCCTATTTCGAATTCTTTCTCCTAACTGAAAAACCTATATGATATGCATATCCTTTGTAGAAATCCCACAATTCTTTTTCATCCTTGAACATCAAACCCACCTCCGGCTCCTCAGGCACCATTGGACCATCTTTTCCTAACGTTTCCTCCTCCACTGATATCATATTGTTCGCAACATTCTTGTCAACATCTCTCTCTACCAAAAATTCATCTTGTACGTTTTCTATAGAACCTCATACTTCAACACAGTGACAACAACCTCATACTTCAACACAGTGACAACATTCAGCAAAACATAATTTCAGTTGAATAAGTAATTGCGAAATCTAATCTCAAAGCGTTAACATTGTCCACAAATAATCAATAACTACATATATCCATTCCTTCAGACAAATTACATCATACTTTAATCAGATAATGAAAGAACAAAAAATAATTCATTAGGTATGAATCACATTACCAAACAAATTATGAAAAACCAAAACAAGATCAGAAACATAAAGATAAAAAACATAATGTCGCTCACTTGGATTTTCCGGAGTTGGTGAAGACAGGTTTTGGTCGTCACCTTAGTTGGGCATCACCATCTTCACATTTGAGGAGTGAGGTTCCAATTTGGGAAAGCGGCCATCGTCGATGTCGTGAGCGAGTGTGTACAGATGAGCCCTATGTTCCGCCTTAGCCAACAATCAATGTAACGACTTCAGCTCCAAGGAAAGACGATTCGGCAGGGAAAATCTCAGTAGTGGGTGGAAATCTCAGTAGCGGGTGGAGTGGTGTGTTAATTCCCTCTCACTTTTTCTACTTTTGCAATGCCCAAACACTAATGCCATGTCAATTCAATTTAGGCCAATTTTAAATTTCTATAAATGTTCTATGAGCCAGCTTCTGTACAAGAGGCTTTAGTGAAAATATGATGCTTAAGGATCATGGTTGTTCGAATGGAACCCTTTACCAACATCAATCACTTTGCCTAAAAAAAGGGAGAAATCTGCATGGAAACATTTCACATAATTACAAGGCTAGTACTATTTTATTACCACACTCAAGAACATTCATAACTATCTTAATTTTGTTACGCTCACTCTATTCTCCCTCACAGGTACAATTGCAGTAAAAGTTTCTAATGGAGCTTGTTGGCAAGATTGCACTGCTTTCGTATTTCACCTTTTGTGCCAGTGAGAGGGTTGTTCTCAGAGAATAGTGATGGCTCGAGAGAACTCCTTGAAGAAATAATCTTGACTTTTTGCCATTTTCTTTACACAAGGCTTGGTTCTTTTATCTGTAGCAAGTTAGTGATCAACAATCAACAAGCCCTTGTTATCCAATATGTTCAGATAGTAATTGTTATCAAGTTTCATCGACGTGCCTTGGTTATTTCTCACATACTGCACAGCCTTAGCTTCAGGGATTGCATCTGGGCACTTGTGGAGCATGTGCTCAACATGTTCCGGGTTGAGTTCAGGATCTACCTCTGGATATAAAAGGTGAACCAATTTAACACAATGGGTTCGATCTATGCTGTGAGCCCCCGTAGGCATCAAACCGTTGTAAAATTCTCCTAAGATTGCTAAGTTTTATGGTAATATAAATATATTAGGGAAATTATAGTCCTAAAAATTTTGTGCTGTCCAAACAGGTGTATACATACCTAGCAAAGTGACAACTCTAGGGGTGTCAATTCCAATGCTGGAGAACCTCTCAAGAACAACACTCATGCTCTCATTGTGGTCAGGAAAGTACTGCTCAAGTATATCAGCTCTTCTTTTTCTGCCATCTCTCTTTCCAGTTTTAAGAGGGATATAGGGCACCCAAGCTGCGAACATGTTCCAACAAGACATTATAGAACTAGAATTAATCTACTTGTACATTATTTTTGTACATCTTGGATGACATTCCAATAGATGTCAAAATCAATGTTATTGATTGTTTCTAGTGTTTGACAAATCAATGGTAGAATTGTATGTCACATGGTTGAATGTAAACAAGAATATCAACCAAAATGGAAGTATAGTAAACTGATAGTACTAACTTTTTTATGGGATTCTACTAGATTTTAATAAGAAACCACAACACACATTTAAAATCAGGCCTATTTTATTATTCAAAACTAAGAAGTTACAACAAACTACTGTAACATTTACCTTTTGGAACTCAGCATACAGCATTAAAACGCCAAATCCACAATGGATACAGAAATTGGAAACTTTTAGTTCATATTTGATGCGTAGTATTGGATAATCATTGAACACAGAAGAGTATAGCACACATGAATTTGAATAAACCCAATTTTAACTTCTTTTTCTTCATTGATACTATTAAACAAGCAATTGGTGATCCAATGCAAAATGATTATTTTGAATCAAGAAAAACACTACACCAGAAATCACCTATGGCAACGCGCGAAAAACGTTGCCATAGACTTTTGGCAGCGTACGGGTGCACGTTGGGAAGTTTGATGTGGCCGTAGAGATTCAACATATGACAACGTTCATCGAACGT